CCCCCCCCCCCCTCCCTCAACACCACGCCCCGTGCACCTTCGTGTGGCCGTGCCATAGGCAGTGCTAGCACGCACATCCTTATTTCTTCACAACTTCGGTGCCTGCAAGTGTGCGGAAGTGTTATCACACCCCTGGTTACTACTCCCCCGTCATGGCTCTCGCGACCTGCACTTTATCACCCGGGCTACACAAGATAACACCCCCCCACAGAATACAACATGCGGTGATGTGTTTTTTATACGCCAAATATTTTGTCCCCGAGGTGTTGTCATCTTGTGTCGTATACAGCAGTAGGCACCTCTGCTGGTACCCCGAAAGACTTGACAGCAGAAGTCATGGTTGCGCTCAAACAGCTTGCTTGGGTGTCCAAATACCCCGGTGGAATGCCGCGCCCCCTGCGAGCGGCAGCACAGAAGCGGTGCGCTCCAAGTATGGAAACACTCACATGTATAGGACACATGTGTATGTATCACTACGCCGGTTTTCGGGCTTCGGCCCATCTTTCTCTCGCGGCAGCAAGGACTTTCTCACGCTTCCTTCTCAGGAGAACGCAGGGGGTTCGTCGGTACAATACCACGCACTCCCGAGGACCGCCAGCCACACTTGGCGCGTGTACTTGACGCCCTAAGCTGCAAAAACTGGTTCTATTCCCCGGGGGAGATTCCGCGCAAAGAAGCTCGCGGAACGAGAAAGTCGACAACCAGACGAAAATGCGATGAACCCAAGGCAGCGGGGTGAACCACCGCTGAGCCACAGAGGCAGCAGTGCGCAAGAAAACCATGTGCCATCAGGGGGTCAGTTGCCGCGCTTCGTTTTGAGAGGCGCGCAGAAGCTGGTTGGTACCTACCGTAAGGATGCGGGTCTTGGCACGGATCGGCTACATGGCACAGGCCGGGGTCTTGGAACAGGTTGTGCGGAAAAAGTCGGGTTTCAAGGGATTAAATTGATCATCGCACAGGTATCGTTCACTTCGTACAGTGGTGTGCGTAGACTCCGATAACTTCGGCGAGGTTGGGTGATACCATGGCATCCAGCTTTTGTCGCGGGCCCACTCAATACTGTTTCAAGGTACATAGCTTGTACCAGGGGCTCCACTGCTGCACTTTGGCATCGTAACGTTGCTCATTGTCATAATTGTCGGAATCGGCAAACGGTTTCTACTCAATCAACCAAGGACGCCTACAAACCACTCGAGACCACACGACCACAACCAACTACGGTACTACGAAAAATACAGACTCCGCGCTTGCAACCTCTTACATCGTAGCCAACGTGTTGCTTGCGTGTGGTGTGTGTGTGAGCATACACCTCTGTGTTGGGGAGTGTCAACGCGATTCGCCGCCTCGCCGCCTCGGTTTTTTTTTTCTCCGCATTTTATTCGCTGCATGTGTTTTGTGTGTTTTGAGGTATTGGTCTGCTGTTGTGTTTGTCTGCGTTCGTTATGTTGTGGTCCTGATGCTGCAATATGTGCACACGCACACGAAGTGCTGGTGTATGTCTGCTGTGATTTGTTCAGGATCGCACACATCGGAGTCTTGGCGCGGGGATACGCATTCGAAGCACCCCACTCGCCACCCTGTGCTTATTCGGAATCGCACGGACCGGAGTCATCGCACGGGGGTGTGCGTTATATTTTCAGCACCAAACCTTCAATTCATGTCCCGCACAAGTATCGGGTACATGGCACGTACCGGCGTCTTGGCACCCCTGTGCGATAGAAACAGATAAATGAAAACATATAGAAAGACGATCGCACAGTGTGCCAAGCCCCGCATCCTTACGTATCATGTGCCTGGACACAACACCGACCGACAAGATTCCCGATTCCCCGGCGGGGAATATCGCGAGGAAACGGAATACCCCGAACTGATGACAGAAAATCTGCGCACAAGAGCGATGATCGTACAAATACCCGCCGAAAAGAGTGTAATTAAAAAACGCAGCAGTCTGTGCTAGAGCAGCAGATCTACGGTGAAGACGCTGCTAGCTCACGCGAAGAGTCACCATGAGAAGAAAAAAAATTCCCCGTACATTGATGCGCGACATGGTCTGCAGTTTGTACCGAAACCGTGGCACTACCGAAGGCTGAAAACAAACAACGATACAACCGCAATAACAGTGGCCATGTCCTCTTGCGTCACCCGAGGAAGGCAAGACGCCAAAAGTCCCGAAAGCCTTGTATGTGCACGTATCATTTGAACGTTTTTCGAGCTTCGGCATATCTCTCCCTCGCCGCGGCAAGTTTATTTTCATGTTTCCTTCGCATGGGCACGCAAGAGGCTCGCCGGTACATTACCGCGCATGCCCAAGGATCTCGAGGCATTCGTGGCAAGTGCAATCGACGGTTAAGTCATCGCGACCGGTTCTATTTCGCTGGGAGACCGTCCGAACCAAAAATGCCTTCGCAACAGCATATATTTGTGTAAGCAGGAAGACTTGCGATTCCTGCGCAACGCACACACACGTTCTCACACACCATGAGCAACACGGCTACATAAGAACAAGCGATCAAACGCAGCGGGTCACAACAGTAGGAACAGCGTGTAGTAGAGACGCCGCTACGCTAGCCTAAACTCACACGCTTCACGCACATGCGAAGAGCATGGCGAGAAAAAAAACACACACATATGACGTCAATTCTGCAGGGAAACCGGTAGCTACCGGACGGTGAGATGCAACGATTTCACCCGGGATGTCCTCTTGCGTCGCCCTCGGGAGGCAAAATAGCAAACTTCCGAAGGGAAGCCTTATATTTTTCGCATACCTTGATTTTCGGTCCGTTTACAACCCGAAAGTTATACCTCGCCAAGGTTTTCCCTAGCCTAACTTTTCTCCGGAATTAAAGCCGCATTATCCCTTGCATCGAGAATGGGCGACTGGCACACCAAACCCAAGTCGAAGGAATGAGAGGAGCGCGCGACAGAGTAACACCAGAGTCTGTTCTCCCGCTCTACGAAAGACTAGATGATAGCAGACATCCATGAGTGAACACTATGTTGGACTCACTGCAGCTATCTTGCAGGGTTCCCACCACAGGATGTGTGCGTTCCGATGGAGATGACGGTTCCCAGTTCTCGATGTACGATGTGCTAGAACTTACGTTCACTTAAAATTCCGGGTGTGCTTGCCTCCCTCTATTACGATGGTTATATCTCGTGCAGTGGCAATCTCAAGGTGCTGGATTAAGTATTGGAGTAAATGCTACATTCGTTCAGCAGGCCACCCTAGCTCCCATGTGATTGGTGATTTGTTATTCGTATTCTTTGATTGTTTTGACACACATCCTGCCAGCTCCAGACACGGGGGACATGTCAAGTTGGTTGGGGGGTGTACTCATAGTCGTGCATCCCGTAGTCGTTAGACCATTGACCTCGCATCCCTACAAAGCCGGGACGGAGCACGCCGGGTTCTCACCGGACCAGGCTCTCACATCACCAAGCGCGAAGCGCCGTGAGATATTCGGCGAGTCGCATGAAGGGTGCGCTGCATCCTGCTAAGGGTGTTCGGCATCTTGTGCTTACTTCCTTGTATACCGATGACAGCTGCGTATGATGCCAAGTTGGTTGGGGGGCGTTGTTCGATGTGTCCCTCGACGTGTTCATTTCCTCCACCGGAACTCCTGGCAAGATCGTGCGCTCTTCCGTCATGGACTCCCTGTGTTTCGTGTGACCTCTCCTTGGCTCTCAAGTGCCACAAAGATGTATGGCACCCTCACCCTGTTTGGGTATGCATGTTGTGTGCACCACTTCCAGGTGGAGTTGGAGGATGACGAGACGTCCAAACCCCAAAGCTCCATCGATGATGAATATGCACAAGCTGGCGTCAGGGACCCGAAAGTGTGCGTTACCACAAGTCGAGATCCATCAAGCAGACTAAAGCAGTTCGCGAAAGAGCTCAAGTTAGTCGTCCCCAACGCACAACGAATCAACAGAGGAAACCACAAGGTGAGAAGCGCGTCACCACGCATCCTGATTCGTTGTTTTGCTCCGATGTAGGCCGTTTCAGTTTTGCTCTGTTTACGCACGCCACGACCAAGGTACTTGCGTGTTCGATGCCACAAGGTACTTGCGTGGTCGATGCCCATGGCCGATGTTTTTTCTGGTCGCGGTGTCATGAAGTTGAGCTTCCGTGTCGTATTTTTTCTGTCCTACATGTCCACCCCCCCTTGCATTTTCCCACCTACCACTGAATGCTATTGCTTTCTCTATCTGAATAATCCGATGCGGGGTCACACAGAAACATTAAACTTGATCGACTTCACAAGTCGCGAGGGAAGGGATTGCCATGCCCTTCTCGCGATAAAAAATCTCTCAGGCAGGAACCGCAGGAGGGGGTCAAGCCCCCCCCTGGACCCCCTCCTCCTATGTGATCCCGGTTGGGTCGTCTAGCTAGTAGCTAGCTAGGTTGGGTCGTCTAGCTAGTAGCTAGCTAGGTTGGGTCGTCTAGCTAGTAGAAGTGGAGGATGGCGGCAAGAGGGACAGACGACAGAGTCCAATAATGAGAGAAAAAACAAACTATGTTCTTTCGTGTTTGTGTGTTGGGCTGCGTTCATCGTTTGTCGCGAGGAGGATTCATTGTGTTTCCCTCGAGTATTTACAAGCATACCACCGATGGGTACGAATATTACCCTGCTGGGGTTTCGAAGTAACCAACGAGAGAACCCGGGTGACCGGCTCCTTCTATTTCATATTCGCCACTTTGGCTCCTGTGGGGGATTTTTTGTCTTATCGTTCACAGAGGTCACTAGATCGACTACGGCCACCACCGCAGCACAAGCCAAGTTCAAGTTTTAGTGGCATTGCCGTTTTTCACAGCATTGCTGAGATGACTAGAACTTCACGTAGAAACTTGGCCTTGTATCACATAGCGCTCTAATTTTGTTGGTTCTGAATGCCTTGTCCGTACAGGTCGGTGAACTGGTTGGTGCGTGCCGATCGAGCGAGTTTACGGACATGATCGTGGTGCAAGAGACGCGCGGGGAACCTGACGGGCTCATCGTGTGCCATCTGCCTCTCGGACCAACGGCTTTTTTCACGCTTTCAAACTGCGTCCTGCGGCATGACATTGCAGACCGCGGCACCGTTAGCGAAGTCTACCCACATCTCATCTTCGACAAGTTCTCGACACCTGTCGGGCAAAGAGTCGCAGACGTTCTGAAATATTTATTTCCAGTTCCAAAGGCGAGATATCTAAAGGCTTCCTTTGCAGGATTCTTTTCCAGGCCTTGAAATCTACTTGGTTCTGCCAGATCCGTCGTTGAATCTTCCTTGACATTTTTGCACTACATCGTCACAGCTGGGTTGTGAGTCTGCGTCGTACTGTCAATTTCGCTCTGTTGGCAGGAGAAAGCTTCCTAGTATTAACCGGGGCCAAGGATTAGACAATTTGCAGTCCGTCGTTCGTTGTAGGGATACAACTGTGACGTTTCTCGGGATTGCGTAAAACGACGAAATCTGAAGTGCATTTTCAGACGGATAACAAAAGTAGTTGTTTGTCCCGCGCGCAGGCCGACTCGCGTCGCGTGATGACTTTCTCGAACGAGGAGGACGTTTTGTATTTTCGTCATCACATGTACGAGAAACGAGGTGGCAAGGAAGTGGTGCTGCATGAAGTGGGACCTCGCTTCGAAATGCAACTCTACCAACTCCGACTCGGCACGCTTGATCAGGTCAGAAATTGTCGTTGCCCTTCGTTGAGATCTCAACGCTGCAGATGAGATACGGTCTCGTATTTGCTCTGCTGTTTGTTTGTTGTCGCCCGCGTACACGCGCAGCACGGTTTCCTCACTTCAGATGCACGAGACAAACAACCTCTATAACCTCGATTTCATGAAATGAAACTCGATTTCATTGAGAAGAAGCTTCGACGATTTGGAATCTCGGGGAGAATAGCCGCCATCTTTCTTCTGGTGGATTGATTCCCCAATGCGGAACAACGTCGGAAGTCCTTCTGCTGAAATATGCAGGGGCATCGCCACAGACAAATAAATACATCCATTCTGAAATCCCCATCCCGCAGGTTGAAGCCGAGAACGAGTGGGTGATGAGGCCCTACATGAACTCGAGCAAGAAGCGGCGGTTCTTGTGATTAGTGTCTACTCGGGTGATAGGCAAGCCAAGTGCCGCGTGGGCTCATACTTTCGCATCGCCTTTCGAATCTCCACCGGTGAAACGCGATCATGATGGAGACGCTGCCAAAAGTCCAGCCTTTCTGGAATTTGTCTTGACACTGTGTTGCCCGCTCTAAACTTGAGCGCGATAATTTCTGTCTTTGGGTTGACGGATGCCTATTGTGTGTGCACATCGCGCGAGGAGCATTCCTGTACGAAACGAAATCTGTGTATGGTGGATTTGGTTTGGTTCCGTCGTCTTTTGCTTCTTTTGTTTTCTCGACACCTCGGTTAGGTGTCTGAGCGGAAAACCAATAAAATGTTCCGCAAGGTTGAATCGAATGAAAGTTTGGACAACGTTCGAATTCCCGTCATGTCGCAACATTGTTGTCGGCACGTCTTGTCCAGCTTCGTGCCCTTGGTATGCTGTGCACAGCCTTCACACGCACCAACCTGTCCTTTCAGCTCTGTAGGCGAGGGCGCCTGACGCCCGAGCCTGCAGAAACCTAAATTTGTAACTTGTTTGAATTAGTTCGTTGAGGTTCGCTGAGCCGTTCGAGATTCCATTGTTGATTGGTTCCAAGTCTAGTAGTGCTGCTGGATAACCACGGCTGACCCGGTCGACAGGAATGAAGAGATGGTAAAGTCATTTATTAGGTTGCCCTCGTAGACAAGCAACAGGAGAGAGTGGGCGCCACGTGCGCCACAAAGCATCAAGCAACAGTCGTGAGAAGTTCACCGACGTAATGACGCACAGACTTTCCGTAACTCGGAACAATTCCAACTAACAAAGATACGTCGGGAGATATACCAAAGATCCACGCCCGTGGAACGGTCACTTACACATGTTCTCGCTCTGAACCCACACATGAGCACTACCGCAGTAGCGTTCGAAAGGATGACAAATCCACTTCACGGACATCCATTGACAGATTTTTCCAGTGGGTTGGAAGAGGTGTCCCTCCTGGCTCCGTCCGCCGCTCCTATGAGTTTGAGTCAGCTGTTGAGAAACGCGTCCTTTGTTGTCTGTCTTACCCGTAGAAACACACCCTCCCTCTCATGTTGTTATTTACCCCCACAGGTCAACTTCCGAACTTGCCGCACTCCACACATGTGCATATATACTTGCATGTCCACGGTTTTAATCCTGCATGTCGGCGGCTTGCACCGCAATCGAATGCGTGAAAGATACATGTCCAGATAACGACGCTTGGAGCGTAGCTGCCGAGAACCACTGTGTGTGACGAGGCTGTGCTTACATGCAGAGAAGTAAGAACAATACGAGGCACTCAACCTCCTCAGGGTAGGTCTTATCGAAGAAATCAAATACCGCTTGAAAGTTGAATATGAAAATAAATGAGTTGAATCTGCCCGAATCCGAATCAAAATAACCTTTGTTGTGTCTTAACGGCAGATACGCCATGATGGAAACGAATCTCTGACGCACACCGCAAATGAACCCGAACGGTCCGCCGTTTGCCGAATACTAGAGGTTGCTGTTGTGACGTTGCCATACCACATGTGGAGCTACTCCTCTGGAGAAGCACATACCATTCGCATACATGGACCCTGTGTTGTACTCACACGAGGGTCTGTGCATCTGAGATTATGAATCGAGCCTCGTCCGACCGAAAGCCACGAATTTGTCTGGGCATTCATTTCAGGTTCGACAGCTGATGGGAACATATCCCACGGGCCAACATACTCCTCACAAGATTTTGTCAGCGCCAGTTAGTCATTCGCAAACAACAACGATGCGCGGTCAACTTTTCGTTGGTTGTGTTCTCTCTCTCTGTGTACTCGGCCGTGTGCGAAAGTGGATTGAGTTTACGTGGGTATAGGCCTATAGGGGTATATGGGCACGTGCCCGCCGTGCGTGCGAGGAGACCGCTAATCGCCAACTTGGGTTGCGGTTCACCCAAATCCGGAGTCGATTAAATTATTTTGTCTTTTTCCTGAGGCCAACTCGTATGGAAGGTCTCGAGGATAAGCTTCTCTGCAGCAGCGAGTGTGTGCTGTGTGCTGCGGTCGCTTCGTAGGCTATGGTTGTACAGCAGCTGTGGTTGTACAACAGCCTACACAGAGGTTACACTTCGAGTGCGGGTGCAACTTGATGTGTGCCTCGGAACGAAGAAGCAAAGAAGGATGTTTGATGACTGACTGACTCCCGCGTCAGGGTTTGATGGTGCTTAAGTGAAGCGAGCACAAGGGGCGAGAGCGCGCTTGTGTCTCGGTTCGAAAACACAAAACAAAACCACAGCAACCGAACGTAGGGTTCACCTGAGATCAAATTGCTGTACCGTTCTTTCGGGGTTTGTTCGGACCGTTTGGACAGGCCCAAAGCTTCACTGTAAACATTCCGACAATCTCTCTGACGTATTCTCCCTTCTCAACTTCTGCACGCGAGCTTCTACCACTGCTGTGCATCTTGTGTGTATCTAGGACAAGTGTCAACCTATCATGCCTAGGCTACACGTGTAGAGCACACGAAAGTGTATTTTGTGCATGCGTATCACACAGACGGAGACGTCTTCTTGTTGTGTTGCTGCAATCGACTACACAGAGGGATATGCATGACTGATGATGCTACTGGTAGTACGCGAATATCACGCAGTGATGCATATTCCCGACACGACCCCTCGATTAAGTAACACGGCAAATGGTGCAGCTCCGAAAGACCAATCACAGATCAACCAACAATCTACTACTGATCGCAGCAAATATCAAGCAATGATGAATGTCCCCACAAGACCCCTCGATTAAGTAACACGGCAAACGGTGTGCTCCCACGACCTCTCAAGCATCAACCTACGATCGACTACTGATAGCAGTACTTTGACAAACAAACGCGAAAGGGGTGGCGGCCGATGTATACACAAACTTGTCTTCTTCTTGTCAGCGCGCTGGCGAACTTTTCGTGTGTATGCTACTTGCTGCTTCGAATCTCATCTTTTTAGCATACGGTTGCCTACACGACGCTTGACATGCTGTTCGCGATCCAGCGGCTCCATGAGCTCGCGAGGAAGAAGAGTACTGCGGTCTTCGCGTGCTTCGTCGATCTCACCAAGGCGTACGATTCGGTGGACCGAGATCTGCTGTGGGACGTGCTCGGACGCTTTGGCGTGCCCCCGAAGATGCTGGCGGTCATTCGCCACTTCCACGAGGGCATGAGGGCGCGGGTTCGAACGGACGACGGGCAGTACTCGGAATGGTTTGACGTCGGCCAAGGTCTCCGACAGGGGTGCAACCTGGCCCCGCTGCTGTTCAACTTGTTCTCTGCC